AACCTGTTCAGCCTCCACAAGAGAAGGCTGAGGGGGGACCTGGTGACCGTCTATAAACTCACTAGGGGGGACCAGAAGGGTTTGGGAGAGACCTTGTTTCCCCTAGCGCCCGCTGGCATAACAAGGAATAACAGCCACAAGTTGTTGGAGAGGAGGTTTAGATTAGACATTCGCAAGAACTACTTCACGGTCAGGGCGGCTGGGATCTGGGACCAACTTCCAAGGGAAGTGGTGCTGGGTCCTACCCCGGGGGTCTTTAAGAAGAGGCTTGAAGCCTACCTGGATGGAGTCATTTGAGCCCAGTTTTTCTCCTGCCCTGGCACGGGGTCGGACTTGAAGATCTACAAGGTCCCTTCGACCCGACTTCTATGATTCTACACCAGACACAGGATCTGAGCTTTGAGTTTGGACCAAATTCAGTGCTGGTGAAACTCCTCCCCAGGCTGGCAAGTTACTGCAGAGGGACATGGCCACGGCTCTGCCTCTGTATATCTTTTGTCTGTTTCCAGCTCAGCTGCTGGGGTGAAAGCAGAGCCACAGGAGGAAATGGGCCCGGGGCTTCCTCTTCTCTGACACTGCCTCTTCCTCCCTTTCTTGACCATCTAGTTTCAGTGCTGTGGTAAAGGCAAAGACAGTGATGATCAGGTGAAACCCACGTGTCCAGAGGGCATCCATCTGCCCAAGGTAAGCACCCACCCCTCAGATTGTCTCAGGGGCCTTTCTGCACAGACACATCAGTCTGAGGGAGAAGCTTCTTGATGCAAGGAACCAAAGCAGCAGGAGGAAGGACGGAGATGGGTGGATGGAAAGGGGCATCCCATTCCAGACAGGCTCTGTTTGGCACCCAGTGATTCAAAAACTGCTTTTCTGTGTCACGGTCACATGAGATGAGGCTGGAGAAATGTTCAGCTGAACTCAGATTTCAGAAAAGTCTGAGCTGCTTTCAGTCCTGCAGGCCCCCACCACCCCGTCCTCTGAGGGCTGAGGGTCAGGAGAACAGACTCCTCCAGCCAGCAGCCTGCCCACCGCCCCAAGCAAGGGAGCAGAGGCAGTGGAAGCAGTGTCAGGACCTTCAGAGTCTCTGTGAAAAGCACTTGTCCCTCCCGGGAGGGCAGAGAGAATGCTCCCACGTTACCTTTCAGGGAGCCTGCTCCACTTAGCTTGGACGGGCAGATCCCCATTGCGCCCAGCCACAGAGCTGGCTTTAGCTCCTGGAGAACATGAGGATAAAGTGGGGGATCGCTTGCGAGTGCCTCTTGGGGGGTGTGGACAAAGGAGCGGGCAGCACCCGGAGACGGGCTTCTGGCAGGTTAGGGCATGCTGATGCCTTGGCAGAAGGGGAGGGGGAGCTTCCTGCTGGTCTGAAATGCTCAAGAGAGCACCAGGCACAGGCAGAGACGGCAGGGTACGTTGGACCGTGGCAGCCACCCTCCAGACCCAGGTACTGAATAGCGGAGCAGTGGGGAGCAGGGAACTAAGGGAGCAGATCTGGACACGTTCCTGCCAAGCTGAGTGGGGCTGTCTCTGTTTCCAACAGAACTGCCTGGAGGAAATCCAGAGTGTAACAAACTCGCATCTGCACTTAGTTGGAATCGTTGGGATTGCAATTGCTGGCATCACAGTGAGTACATCCCTGCCATCCAGATGACATCCCTGCTCCTTCCTCGGGGCAGGGGGTTCCAGCAGCTGCTGCAGGGTGCTCGCGGTATGACTTCCTGACACTTCTGCTGGGCCTCCCCTTCACATCACTCTCCCCATATACATCTGGAAATGTCTCAGGTTTACTGGCACATTTGGAGAGGGTCTCTGGGAGAAATCCTCCCGCACTGCTGTTGTGAATAGACACCTTTAGTAATGTCAGCAGGAAGCTGTGTTCACGAAGCCTGACTTGAAAAGTGCCCGTTACCCTGAGCTTTCATCCTGTCCAAAGTGCTGCAGACATGGCCTCCTGTCCCAGCATATCTGACCTCTTCCCGCAGGAAGGGCTTCTTTGCTGGCGCCTCGACACAGCTTCACAGACCAAGTGCACCACATCCAGTTGCTGGGAAGAGCAGGGTTTTCCAGTGACATGTTCGTGGCTCCTCCCACAGTCAGAAATGGCACATGCCTGTTTCTCAGCTAGTTGCTTTAAAGATCAGGTTTTGCAGTAGGCCTGCTAGGGAGCCAGTCCTCATCACCCGAGGCTGCCCTGTGCTAGAAGCATATGCTGAGCACAGGGAGTGAACACCCCTCAAAATGGCACAGCGGAGGGAAGAGGGAGAGGGTGTCGGAAGCTGCCTGCGCAGGGCCCTCGTGGTCAGGCAGCCAGGCAGGCAGGAGGAGCAAGTGCTGCAGCACGTTCTCCACGCTCTGTCCTTGTCTTTGTCGCTGCCGTGTGGCAAGGCTGGCCAGCTGTCTGCCCGTGTCCTGGGAAAGGTGTCACTGGTGTATGTTGCCAGGCAGAGCTGCCAGCTTCCCCTGACCAGTAAACTCTGCCCTGGCAATGAAACTTGTGGCCAGGGGAAATTACTGGATCTCCAATGCTCTCTGCTGGGCTTTGCATTCACCTTCCTCTGTAGGTTCCTGCTCCCAAGCTGGTCGGTACTGTTGATGTCACGGGTGAGCTCCCCACCGGTGCAGTCCTTATGGAGGTGTTAGTTTCTGTGTGAAATCACAGTGCCCTAAAGCAATCCCAGTGCGAGCCTGATGCCCAGCTCTGCTTTCTGTTCTTCTGCAGATACTTCACAGGCAGAGATGTCTGCCAGCCCTGTCTCTGTACTGCTCTGGAATCCAGAGCCTCTGTTCAGTGCCGGCCCTGATGCTATTAATAGGACTGAATTTGTGTCAGGGCAGATGACCTCAGTGGGATAAACCCCTACTGAAATTTGGCAAGAACTTATGCTGTGCAAAGCATTCATAATGTCTGTGGCACCTATATGTTCAAATATCGTCTTGGCTCCGAATGCTAGAGAAGCATCTCCCACGTTACTTATCTGCTGTCCTGAGATCTGCAGACAGAAACCACGATCTGCCATGGCCACTCACTTGCAAAGATCACTAGATTGCTCTGATATGATGGACAGTTTTGCAATGGCTTTTGTAACTGGAGGCATCTCCTGGAAGTCCCTAAATCCCGTTCCTTCTCTCCTAGATCTTTGGCATGATATTCAGCATGGTTCTCTGTTGTGCAATCCGCAATACAAGAGACACGCTCTAAACTCTTGCTGCAAACTTCTATGCTCCAGGACTTCCAGACTAAACTTCACAAGAAGCGTTCTCCTACCCAGCCTAATAATTTCAGTACATATTTAATTAGTGTGTTTAACAAAGTGAGAGAAAAATACTCCGCTTAGGTGAGCCTGTGAAACCAATTAATTCTGTTTAAATTTGCAAGTCAGAAAACTGAAATGAGCAAAATGAGGGTTTAAAATGTTCCGGTTTAAATGGAAAGGCAAAGGTGGCATCTTCAACTTACGATTTTCAGTATGTTTGCATGTGTGTGGCTGGGTGCCCGCACAGATGTGTATATCACGTGGGGACAGGTGTGGCTCTCCATACAGAAGTTTCAGTGTGCACATGCACTGATATCTGTACACACAGTGCCTGGTGTGACTGAGTGAGTGCACGCACGCACGCATGCAGAGGGGCTACATTGTGTGCACACATTTGCTCGCACGTTCCTGCAAGGTCCCTTCTGTAGCACATGCAGCCGTGGGCAAATACAGCTGGAGCCATTTCCACAGCGAACTCCTCTTTGCCAAGCGTCACTGTAGGAGCAAGCTTCATCTTTTAAATATAACCTTTAATGCAGTTTCTACTAATCTCCCCCACATTTCAAGGGAATTAATACACTTGACTTAAATGAGCTAAACCCTAACAGCCTGTTCCCACAAACTGATACGCGTACAACACAGCCCCTGGACATCAGTGTCACATGTAGAAGTCTTCTGGGTCCTGGGTCTGAATCCAGAGAGCTTCTGGGGAACCCCTGGATCCCAGCCGAAGTTTGGAGCGGGAGACTTTGACAGGTAATGCCGCTGGTTGTGATGAATCCCAGTGCCAGGTGTGCCTAGGCTTCCACTCCACCAGTATGGCAAAGCCCATCTGCGGCGGAGCAAGGCCTCTCAAATCCCATTCATGTTTAAAGCAGAAACATGGGTGGAAAGGGGCAGGGGAGCTGATGCAGGCTCTGCTTGCTCCAAGCGCCGCCCTCGTGCCAAGGTCTCCAGCACCCCGCATCCTCACGGGCGGCTCTGGCACCGGAGCCGTGGCCTCGTGGGAGGTCTTTGGCCACAGACTCTGGGAACCAAACCAAGTGTGACGATGACGGCCAGGGAAGGCGAGCGGCGCTCGGGCACGTCCACGCCTGCTTCTGAGCGCCCACAGCTCCCGCAGGGCTTTCTCCGCAAGCCTCTCGCCCCCACCTGGAGCTGGAGCTGGAGCTGGGCAGGGAAGGAAAGGCAGGGAATTTCCACAGTTAAGAGTCATTTTCTTAGTGGCAAGAGATGTCGAAATTACACTGTATGTATCCTTGAAATACCTCAGGGCTTGAGTTTACACAGG